TTTATATTCTTTATGATTCTTTTTAACCTTTAATACTGCTCCCCAAAAATTATCCGAAGCATCAGTTTCAAGGATAAATAAATTTTCTTCCTGTGGAATTATAAGTTTGGGCAATACCTTTAATTCTTCTTTTACCTTCTTATATTTTCACAATCTTATTTTTTCCAAGACCACATTATATTTTTTCTTAATTTTGGAAGAAAATAATTTTTTAGTTCCGCACAATTTTCAATGAATCTTTCAGCATAATTTAATAAGACAAGGAAGTTTTGTAATTGTTTTTTATCTTTGATTTTTTCAGGAAATTCTTGAAATTTTTCTCCAATATTAGATTACAATTGCAATTCTCCTTTTTTTATAAATAATCCTAAAAATTCTATTTTTGTTTTAACTATTTCATCTTTCTTTTGAGAAAGTGTAATATCATATTTTTTCATAATATAACAAAATTTCTCAAAATGTTCAATATGTTCATTAATATTATTTGAATGAATAAGTAAATTATCTACATATGCAATACAAAAATGAGTAATTGATTTAATTACCTCATCCATTATTCTTTGGAATATCTGTGGTGCATTTTTCAACCCAAATGACATTATATTCCATTCATATTGTCCTGAATGATTGGGCGTACTAAATGCAGTTAATGGTTTACTTTCTTCTGTAAGCATGATTTGTCAAAAACTTGGCTTACAATCAAATTTTGAGAATATATTTTTATTTTGTACTTGCTTAATAAGGGTGTCCTTATTTGGCAAGTAATATCCATCGAATTTGGTAATTTCATTTAACTTTTTATAATTTATCACCATCCTGACTTTTCCTCTTTTTATCTCGCTATATTTTCAAACCATAAAGGCTGGGCTGCTATGTGGACTTTTACTAGGCCTAATTAATTTGGCTTCTAGCAATTCTTTTATCTGGTCTTTAATTTCCTTTTGCTCATCAACACTATATTTCATGGGTTTGACTCTAGCAATAGTGTCTTGATTAGTTAATTCTATTTTTGCATTTACTTTGTCCGTATTCCATTTTTCTAAGAGATTTTCATAATATGTTTTAAAAATTTCTTTTTTCAATTTTTCTAACTTATTTTCTGTTGTCATTTTTAGGACTGTAACTGGTTTAAGTTTTTCTGTACTCCAACATTCACCACGCTGGGTTGTGGAACTCTAATGGTTTATGTCTCTATATACTATTGTAACAGCCTTGTTTATCTTTGGTGTAAATATTTTGTGTGCACAGGATGTTGTGTACATATATTTATCAATATATTATGTAAATGATGCATATTTTAATAGAAAATTTTGTCCTAATAAAATATCACATCCAATTGTGTTTGACATATATATTGTATCAGCAAATACTTCTCTAAAGGAAATTAGAAAAGGTACTGCGTAGCATATTTGCTGTATACTACCTTATTTTCACCTGCTGTTGTAGCGGTAACTATTTTCTTTGAATTATATTTTCAGTATTCAGATGGTAGTACATTTGGTAAGCATAAACTTATTGTACTTCCTGTATCTATGTAAGCATGAAATTTAATTCTACAATAACTTTTTATATTGAGTATAATTTTAATATATGGACTCATGAAATTAGCACTAATTACTCTTTCCATGATAACAATGATTTCATATTTTCGTCTATTCTTGATATGATGATTGGATTATCTTCAACTATTATTTTTAAATATCCTTGGCAGATTTTATAAAGACTATATTTCTCAAAAAAGTTCATTTCTAGTAATATAGGTGAACGTTCAACTCCATATAATTCATCTTTATATAAAATTATTTCTTTAGTATATTCTTTCTGATCATTTCCCATAAGTATAAGAGGGAACTTTACATATTTCCTTATTTCAAGATTATTTCCTAAATAGTCCTTGAATATACAGGGTTCTGACATTTCAAATTCTATTAAATGACTAACAAATTTAGCATTTACATGACTTTTATTTGCTCCAGTGTCAATGAGGACAAGAATATTCTTCTTATATCCTTCTTGATTTACATATCTTGTTTTGATATAATATTGCGAACTTGATGGTTCAACAATACTTAATTTCTTGAGTTTGCTTATCTTAGAGTCTTGTCCATAGAAGAATCTTGCAATAAGATTATCTCCTTCTAGGCTGACACTATTTCTTCTTATCAGTTTTCCTTCAAAATTAATTTCTCTAGTTTGTTTGTGAAAATCAAGCATTATTTGTTCTGGCATAGTGACCTCATGTTCCTGATATTTCCTAGGAGGTATATATTGTGCTAATTCCTCAAAATCTTTATGTATGATAATATTATCTGTTATTTTTCTTAAATTGTTATGATGATTAGTACTAAAAGCAAAAATTGATTTTATGCTTATACTAATGGCATTATTTTTTTGTAATATTTTTAAATTTCCAATTCTATAATATAGATTGAAACTTTGGTCAATATTTTCGTCAATTAGTGATATTGCATAATTTGGTTTTACTGTAAATATTATCTTTTGATGACTAAGTTTCCTACAACTGTTCCTAATAGAGCATCTATAGGATCTTGTAAGATTCTGTTGTCCATACAAAATATTTCTATTGGTATGTTTATACTTTCTCTAAAAAATCCTTTTACCATTATCTGGACTCCTCATATTTCAACACATTTTAATTTGTTTATTATGTTTTCTGGAATTTTGGATAACTTTTGTTTTATCCATTCTTTAGTAATTATAGGAATTCTTGCTTTTCCTATAATATCTTCCATATTGATAGACATTTTTTTATAATTCATACTTACAATTGTTTTATTTACTCTTGGTAGTATTCCCAAGAATCCTTGTTGGAATACATCTTTTTTTTGTAGGTCTAATATTTTCTTGGTTATTCCTTTGTATTTTTTAATATCAAAGGTAATTTCTTGATTTATTCCTTTTATCGAGTCTTCAACTTCTTCAATTGTTTCTACATCTATTTCTAGATCTGCTTTTTGTATCTCTTGATTCATATATACAATCTCCTCAGAATCTTCTTCTGATGAGGATGTATTTAATTCATAAATGTTACTGCATTCACTACTTAAATCTTCAAAGTATTCAATTGGTTCTATTTCACTATCTTCTTGAAATTTTTTATAAATTCTAAGAGTTTTTAATATTCTGTCTATCTTTCTCTTTAGGACATTGAGGGGCAATGTATCCTTCTTCATTACAGATGAAACATCTACATTTTTTAATATTTCTTGGTTTAGATTTTTTATTCCAATCTCTTTTCTTGAAATATTTCTTGTGTGGTTTAAAATTTTTTTCTTAAATTTTTTGTAATTTTTAAATTTTCTTTTATATTTCTTATATGGTTTATATTTCTTTTTATGGCATTCAAATTGTTTAATTTGACCTATATCTTTGTAACAACACAAAGAATTCTTTCTTATTTTGTATGTTTTTTTTACTTTCAAGAGCTTCTCTGCACCACATGCCTATCATTTTTTTTTGTAAATTCGATCCTACTTCCAATACTATCTATTTTTACTCCTTCCTCATCTCCTAAAGGTAGTAATTTCTCATATTCTTTTAATAATTTAATTCCTCATGGGAATGGTAATTTTGTAAAATAAGACCTTAGTATAGGTTTATTTTCTTGATAATCTCATTGGTTTAATATATATTATAATTCTTCAAATTTACATGTATATCTTTCTAATTCACACATGTCAAATATCTTTAAATTTTCTAATGCTATCATTCCTTCATTATATTCATCTCGTTTTCTTTTTTATTCATTAGAAGTATATCTATCTCCCAGGAACTCTGTTCTTAATGCTTTTTCAAATCTTTTTAATATTTCTTGTATATTTTGATCATTTAAACTATTCATATTATCTAATACTTCAGTTCTACATTTTCCATACTTTATTCTTCCTTTAATAGTTTCTGGTAACTTTCTCTACCATTCAGAAACAATTTCTCTGAATGTATGTTCTATAAATCCAAAAGTTGTATATATTTCCCATTTATTAAATTGTATTGTTAAGTCAGTACTTTTTATCCATGTTTCAATAGCTTTCTTTTTATCTACACAGTCTAGATCTAACCATATTTTCGTTGTGTGAATTGGTTCATTGTAAGATTTCATTAGATTTGTTTCTTTTATGGATTGTTTTCTTATATTTTCAGTGTATCTTTTCTGCGTTTTCCTATATTGATTAATACATTCTTTAAGAGGTATTATAGTATAATAAGGATAATTGTATTCTTCATCACTACTGAATTCTATTTTTATTTTTTGACTTGTTGATGGATTAGTATTAATCTTAGTATTTTCCATTCTTTCAGTTAATTCTTCTAACTGTTTTTTATATTTATCATACTCCTTACCAGTGAATTTTAAGAATTTTTGTTGTAGTTCTTCTACATTTGTAATCATATATTGATTTTCTTCATGTCTTTTCCCTTTATTATTTTCTTTTTGTGTTATCCTAAAATCTTGGGGTGGATTAATTATAATCCTATTTTTTTCTTTAAGGTTTTTATCCAAAAGAGCATTTCCTACTTGTAGATTATGTTCTAACCTTTTATGTATATCCTCAAAACTTTCATTTGTGGTGTTTTTAGGTAAGTAGGGATAACTTAGTTTTTTATGTTTTTCAACTTTTTTCCAAAAATTCTTTAATTATATTTTCTTCATCTACTATGTTCATCATAATTTTAGGTTCGTAACATGGCTCTTATACCATTTCATTGGAGCGTGCAGTGGAGGGGTTAAGATTTTGAATCCAATTAAAATCTTCATAAGTATTTATAAAGAAACTTTCCAGATCTTCTGTTAAATAATTTAATTCATTATCTATTGCATTTCTTAGATCAATAAAATTTTGTATAATTTTTGGGTTTAAATTTATAAAAGATTCATAATCTATATTTCTTTGGAGACCTAATCGAAGATTTTTATACATCTTAATGATTTTGGTTGCAAATTTGATTACAAATTCTCTATAAAAAATATTTTTGAAAAGATTATTGGTCAAAGGTTATTATTATATTTTTTCATCTAATCTCACAATTTGCCATTCAATTTACTGTTAGAAGGTATTTCCTCGCGGTTGGTTTGGGTGAAGTCTGCATTACGCGATTTTTTAACGGTCAAATTCGTTGATTCAATCTCTCTGCAAAACGTATAACTGAATAAAAGAATATTCCGGCAGTCGCTTTGCTGCACCAATTCAATAATGGCCGCAGATTCTGCTTCCGGTAATGCCCTGATTTCATTTACAGAATTGAAACCCCAAAAAATAATGCTAATTTGCTAATTGTTGATTTGTAGTTGGAATTGGAAGATTATTATTATTGTTATTATTATTATTTTCGTTTTCTATGTTATGATTTCGAATTTGATGATTTGTCATTGGATCCATCATTCCATTTTAGCAGACGGGAAACAGAAATGGGGAGTTTCGGCATCTGATGTTGTTTACCACTTCGGTACCAGCGGAATTTCTGTTGCAGCGGCAACTGGGATTACTCATCCTTTAGGTTTTTCTCTCTTCTTCTACTTGATTAGGCATTCTTGTTTCTTCGTGGGCTAGTAATCAGTAATCGAATTAGATTCTCTTAAATGTTCAATTATGCATTACTATAACTAATTTGGAAGAATTTGAACTGATTTTGTGAATCAGCCTCCCTTTATTTCTCAAAAAATATGCTTCCTTTAATTTTGCCCCATGTCCCTGTTATTAATGCTGCATCCTAGAGTTTGTTTGGAGAAGGTGTTTATGAACGAGTGATGTATAAGTGGGTAGTAATTGTGGGTACGAAATGTATGAATAAAAGGTTGTTTAACCGAAATTTATTTTTTATTCGAAGTGTTTATAAACACCTTCCAAATCACAGGCTTCTTCAACTTTGTTTGATATATCGTTGAGTAGTTAAAAACAACAATTTTGGTACCTTATGACAATTGTCTTCGCATTTACTAATAAACCAAATTATAGGAATTGATGTTGACAAGATAGGCGAAAGAGAGAGATTTTGGAGTGTATGTATGCTTATAGTTGCTGACATGGCATAGGCAGCAACATTTATATGAAATATGTGATTCAGCTTATTTTGGAATGCAGATGTTCTCAAAGTTAGGCTGCAAATGCAACTTGTTGGCCAAAGAGGTCCACTCATTGGGATGGTATATAATTTCTCTATTTTTCTTTTCAATTGCAAGAGTTGCTCTCTAAATAATAATTTGGCATCTTAGGAGATATTTCTTGTGTTGTGTCATTTCTCATGGCATGTAGGGTAAGCTTTCTGCTCAAGTAGTCAAAAGTGAAGGTCTCAGGTCCTTGTATCTGGGTTTGACACCTGCATTAACAAGGTCAGTTCTTTATGGAGGTCTCCGTTTAGGTTTATATGAACCAACAAAATATGTCTGTGAATTGGCTTTTGAGTCCACCAATATCTTGGTGAAGATCGCATCTGGAGCATTCTCTGGATCTGTTGCAACTGCACTGACCAATCCAGTAGAAGTTTTGAAGGTACCAGATATACAGGCTTTGTTAACTCTTCAGAAAAATTCTGAATATCCTACCTTTCATCAGGTACGGATTCAAATGAATGCCAGAACAACTAGGGGACCGGTGCAGGAATTGCAGAAAATCGCTTCAGAAGAGGGAATAACAGCTCTTTGGAAGGGGGTTAGACCTGCAATGGCCAGGGCTGCTACATTGACTGCATCCCAGTTGGCAACGTACGATGAATCCAAGCGGGTCAAGTTCTAAGCATCCTCTTTATCACTTTGATTGTCCACAGTGTAATTTTTCACCATTCAAGTTTATGTACCTGTTATTTTGGTGGTCTGAAACAGTTTCTCTTATTTTAACTCTTCACTAGTACAGGTTTTGACAAGATGGACCTCTCTTGAAGAAGGATTTTATCTGCATCTCGTGTAATCTTCTACTCTGTACACACTGCTCATTATCATAAAACCTACATTTTTCCTTCCCCATACAGGTGGTTACACGTGCACTCACAGTCAATCGTATGAATTCTACTGATTATTTCTGCGACGTGTAATCTAACTCAACTTGGTATATTCACACATGTAAATGTGTACATTACATCCAATTTGATGCGGACATCACTTATATTATTATCGCACTATTTTACTTTTTCTAGTTATTGGGCTTGTATTATTGGTTTGGCCCAAGCCCATCACTGGTAGGGTTATGCTTTTACTATTTATATGATTTTCAGTTGTAATTTCATTAGACGATGATGAATTAGAATTGAAATATTGTTTGGCTTGCAGCCGTTTTTCTCCCTCCCCTCTCCTCTCCTCTCCTCCCCGTTTCTTTTTCTTCTCCCCTAGTTTCTCAACTTCTTCCGGACTACTTCTTCTTATTGAAATCCCTCAATCTATCCTACATCAAAGTGGTATCAGAGCCAAAACCTGGTTATCTTCATCTCAACTGTTCACAAAATAACCATCCACAATGAACAGTAACCGTAGGCAATGCAGTAACCCAGAACTTTTTACTACCCGCCGACTACTGCTAAATTGACGACCCATATAGTTAATTCTTTCCTTCACCGACCACCACAACAATTGCGAAAAAGAAACCACCACGTCCTTCCACAACCGCCACCACAGTCGAACAGCACACCCAAGCCAATAACTGTCAAATTACAATACACTACAAACGGCTAGTCCCACATAACTCCGATCCCTCACAGTCGAACAGCACACCCAAGCCCAATACATGTAACAGTAACCCAACCCATATTTAGGTGACACAAATTCCGAGTCTTCTTCCACTTCTTCGACTCGTCTACTGTCGCTATCGCCGGTCGACACCTGTGGCGGCATCTCCGCCGTCCCAAATCAAGTTGCATCTCGCCGACAGCCCTAATCATCGCCACCATAACAGCCTAACACCGACAACAAACAAAAGTGACCAGTCACTCCTCACAATTCCAACTCCCGTAACTCACGCTTCAAGAGGAAGAACCAAGAAGATGAAGAAGAAGACGACCCCGTTGAGAGCAAGAAGGCGTTGGGTCAATTTGGGTTGTCTTTTATAATTTCAAAAGTCTTGTTTGGGCTTTAGTCTTTAGCCTCTACTTTTCGTTTGGTTTTGGGCATCAGTTTGTGACCTTAATAGTTTGTCTGTGTATTGATTAGTAGTATCAAAGAAAAAAAAAAGAAAAAAAAAAGGAAAAGAAAAGTGACAAAAAAAAAAAGAGAAAAAAAAGTATTTTCTAACATTGTTTTTGTAGATATCTCTTCTTGTTCTATTAATCAATCCAGTTGCTTCGATGAACAAAAAAAGGGGAGTTACTATTCTATTTATCTTTGGTACATTTCTGTTAATCTTAGAAATTGCATCAATTAAATTTTTGTGTTACTGCTGCTGATCTAGTTGTTTTCTAAATTCACGTAATTGGATCCATTCACTTCGTTAAGTTCCACTTTTACCTCGCTTATTTTACGTGATTAGAGTTTGACTAGTATTTGACCCTTGCTTTGCTATTTTACTTATACCAACAGTATTAACTTGTTTTGGATTTTAATCCCAAAATTTAAATTAAAAAAAAAAGATCAAATTTTCATTTTCCTTTACTTGCACTTTTTGTTCGTTGATATCTCTATTGCATGTCATTAAGTTGCTATTACAGTGCATGTAGTTATATATTGGTCATCTTGTCACTTCTGGCTCCAGTACCTTAAACATGGACCCTTCACAATTCGATGCACTCACCCGACAAATAGCGGCTATTCAAACTCAGATGACCGCTACTCTTGAAAAGAGTAAGGTCCTATCTGTTAGTTTGAAAAATTTTAAACACATCCCTCATTCAATTGATGTTGATAATTTTAAGGTGTCCCATAATAGACATTATCATCATCAACAGGGTGATCAAAAATGCTTTAGACACGATTGTAGGGGTAGGGATCAGATTCGTGAGCGAGAACGAGATAATTTTGAAATTCTTACTCAATGGAATGCCCTTAAACAAGGAAATCAACTAGTCACTGAGTATATTGCACAATTTGAGAAATTTCGATCCAAATGTCATTTAGTTGAAGATGAGAGCACGACTTTGAATAGGTTTAGCCAAGGTCTGAGAGATGATCTTAAGCGCGAGCTTTTCCTTTGAGGTGTCACTACTCTTGATCACGCTTACTCTTTAGCTCGAGATTATGAGTTGATTATTAGTACTCCATATGAAAAGCGTGGCGTCGCCTCATCATAAGTCTATCATAAGACATTCTCCGTCTAATGTTCCTCCTATTTGAAAAAATAATTGTAAAGGTCGTGATAGTCCAAGATCTTCTTCTCCATGTAAAAAGCATATTGACAATCATCCTTCGGTGTCATTGGCTCTACTTCCTCCCGTGAAGTCCCTTCTAGGACCTCCCCCGTCTGATGTTCCTCCAATTTTGAAAAATAAGGGTAAAATTTTTTATAATTATCATTTGGCTTCATTGGCTTCACCTTCTCCCGTTAAGTCCCTTCTAGGACCTCCCCCTTCTAATGGTTCTCCAATCTTGAAAAATCAGGGTAGAATTTCTGAAACTCCAAGGCCTTCTTCTCACTTATTGTGCGTCAACTGTAAAGACTTTGGTCACATTTCTTCTAAATGTCTTAATCGAACCTTAGTTATGAAAGAACGAAAGAATGTAATAGAGAAGCCGTTAGAAGATCTAGTCTATGAACCTAAACTTGAAGATTTTGATGACTTGGATGATAGCGAGGACACTTCCTTAAGTGGAATCCAGAGTCTTCCCGAGACTTGGGATACTATACCCCTTATCTCCGACAATTTTCGATCACATGTTATATGTCATACCCTTACCCAAGTTAAAGAGTTTGATGATGTCATCAGTCACCCTTGAAAAATCCAGTCGCTTGTGGTTAACACTAAGGCAAAATTATCCACCACTGACCAACCTCAAATTGATGGTCAAAACAAAAGTGCTAACTAAAATCCTAACAATTTATTACAATCTCTAGTCCAGAAAAATCTTGGGAATTGGGACTTGATCCTTCCAACTGTTCAAATTGCATATAACGATCCTGTGAACCGGGCTTTAGGTCTAAAACCCTTTGAAGTTATTCTTGGTTGTGAACCTTTGAAACCTCTAGACCTTATTCCCATGCACCCACATGCGTGTGTGTCTATGTCAGTTGAGGTAGTTGTATCACATTTTTATAGCTTGCATATTGAGATCAATAAATAATTTGAAGCAATTAAATCATTATATAAACCTCAAGTTGATTGGCATAAACAACACTTTGAATTTAATATTGGGGATTATGTTATATTGCAAGCGTGTAATGTTGGTCTTTTTAAAATTTCAAAGCATGTTGGTCAAAATGCCTATGTCAATGATCTTTTATCACATTATGACCATAACCCTATTTTATTTGTTAAGGACTTCGATACCTACAATGGCTATTTTAACACTTTTGTTGATCCTTTTTGTCTCTACCCGAGAACTCCCACACCGAATCTTTTGCTATGTCTATTCGAATACCACATGTCGCAGCACACAAAGATAAAATTGATATAATTTTAGATGAACAGGTTGTGTTAACCATTGATGGAGAGAATCGGTGCTTCTTTAATTGTTGGGTAGATCAACGTTCTTATTATGCTCCACATTATGCGCAATCATGTGAAGATTTTGGAGATGAGTTGCAGGAGTACTTGTTATTTGAAGTCCAATGTCGGTACTTGATTAAAATGACTAAACGAGGGATCGTTCGCCTTGGTTGGATCATATTCTTGAGGACAAGTTGCCATTTGCATTGTTATCAACCGTGGATTCAGATATTTGGTTCTTCAAAAAGATCGTCCACCGTGGTTGAGTTCAGACGTTGAAAATTGACGGTAGCTCTTTGTCATTTGTTCACTCGACAGAGTCGAGTTTTTCTTCCACCCCGGGATAATTGATGCGGACATCACTTATATTATTATCGCACTATTTTACTTTTTCTAGTTATTGGGCTTGTATTATTGGTTTGGCCCAAGCCCATCACTAGTAGGGTTATACTTTTACTAGTTATATGATTTTCAGTTGTAATTTCATTAGACGATGATGAATTAAAATTGAAATATTGTTTGGCTTGCAGCCGTTTTTCTCCCTCCTCTCTCCTCCCCGTTTCTTCTTCTTCTCCCCTAGTTTCTCAATTTCTTCCTGACTACTTCTTCTTATTGAAATCCCTCAATCTATCCTACATCACAATTAGAATTTCCTGACTTGCAGTAGTTTAGGAGGCTGGATTTTTGGTTATTGATATGAAAGTCATTTTACATATTCAAGCATAAAGAAAAGATGGATGATGCATAATATTAAGATTTTTTTAAAGTAGAGAATTTCCTTCCCCATTTTACGTATTCATTTTCATTTGGGAAAGATGGGAAGTCTGCCAGTTATGGGGGAAAGAAACTGGAAAAAATCTTAAAACAGCATAATGCAGTAATTGTTTACACTACACCATAATGTGGCAATTTAAAAGTAAATCCTTGTTCCAAACATGGTGTGAATATCATCAGGAACTAATAAAGTGGAACGGTGAAATAATCTCTCCTACATTTTTTATGTTCTGAATCCCTAATTTTGATTAGCCTTGGTTCTGCAATTTCTAACTGATGTTAACATCTTCTGAAGCTCGAGTACCATATCAGGCTCGGTGAGCACGATGGTGACTGCACCTATGGACATGGTTAAAACACGACTTATGTTGCAGCAAGAATCTAAAACAGTTGGAAGCTATAAAAATGGACTCCACTGTGCATCCCAGGTTGTAGCTTTTTCTGCTTAATTTAGCCCTGATATTATTATATTTCTGTATTATCATTGAGTACTGCCAACCGGCCTGTCTAATGTACCTGATACATAATTCCAGGTTCTGCAAACAGAAGGTCTTCAGGGTCTCTACAAAGGGTGAGTTCTTCACGTACACTACGTAAGTGGTTGGGTATGGTCGATTGGACAGCTTTAAAATCTTTGTTCATTATGTTGTCCAGTCTCATCCCAACATACACCTAGTTGTTTTGTATCTTTGTTGAAGACGACCTACCTTCCCCCCCCCCCCCCCCCCCCCCCCCCCCNNNCCCCCTTCCCCCCCCCCCCGGAACTTAGTCGTAATGTTACCTGAAGTTCTTTTTGATGTTTTCTTGAATTGATTAATCGGTTATCTTTTTAACGCTGCCAGTGGCTTTGCAATCTTCGCAAGATTGGCTCCACAAACTACAATTACCTTCATACTCTGCGAGAAGCTGCGTGAACTTGCAGGTCTTAAAGCGATCTAGTCCATATAATTGCCTTGTCTCTACCATTCGTTTCCAGTATTTATACTCTCTTAGAATTCTTTGCCCGTGGACACGACAAACCATCAAGATCCCGCATTTGTTTTTTGACAAAAATGTTATATGAAGTTCATGTGTTGTCTCTTTGGATATCGGGGGAATCCAGAATCTCGTTGCACGACATTTTTTTTCTCACTATTGTCATTCCATGTATTACTACTACTTGTAACAGGACGATGATTGATCTATTTGTTGCTATAATAAATTTGTTATACTTTTCCAGCTTCCTATCCTCTCTGGCTAAGAGGAGATGAAAATTCTCAACTACATATTTCCCTTGAAATGATTTTTTGATGTTATCTGGCTAAGATAGTCGTGTCTAGTACAAAGCTACTCTGATAGGAAATGGAAACAGGGTTTTAAATCCAGGCAGCACCTGACTGGGTACTTGTTTTTTTTTGTTTTAAAACTGGCCAACCATATGTGGACGCATGGCACCTAAATTTAATCCATGTTCCCATTCCCTGTTTTTGTAGCAAAACTCTTGTGTCTTAAGCCTATAAATTGTGTCAGGTACTTGGCACCAAAACCTAGGTTGAGGCAAAGTCCGACCCGACCCGACTCCATGTGATCTGGCCAAGCCTCGAATTTTCCTTCAAAATGACAACTGCAAAGATAGTGTCCAAAAATATTGGAATTGAGACTTGGCGAGCGTGTTTGGGTTAGCTTTAGAAGTTCATTTATAAACAAAAAAGTATGAGTAAATGAAAAGGACAAGTTAGTTATTTTCAATTAAAGTTCGAAATAATTATGTTACTTAATTTAAAATCACTTTTCTCTTATAAGTAAAAATAAATAGGCACGGTGGACTCCTTGTTAACCTGCTGCAAGGGTTCTCCAATTCCAAAGGAACAAAAGGGTAGTGAAAGTCTTCGGACGGTTATTTGGGTCAATTTACAGGGACGAAGTGCCGCGTACGGCACGAGGTAATTGAATTACACGTTTTAATAGTTTTGTCAAAACTAATATCTTTATTTTTTGGACTTGTCTGAATTTAGGCTAATAAGTTTTCTTACGTCCACCATACGAAATCGCTTTTCTAAATCAAAGTTTAACCTCGTTTGGTTTTACTAAAAATCAAAATTTAAAGCATCGTTGATGAAATTAATGATTGAAAAGTTGATAAAAGATGTGAGTCTCATAAATGTTTATTTAAAATTAATTTTTTTTTATATATTTTATTTCGAATTGACTATTCCTTTTCAAATTAATGTGCAGACCTAGTCTTTTAATATTGTCGGAGATAAAACACTGAAAATTTATAATTTTGTTGTCTAAATAGTAAATATTAATGGCTACTTGTACAATTTGATGGACTACGATATTATATTGACTTGTAATTCACTAATTGAATGAAGAAGTGTTCAACAAATGTTTAACAAAGTGCAATTATTATTGATCACTTAATAAAGTCAAATATTTTTAGGTGGCCGGTCGGTCCACTAGACTATTGGGTCTTGAGTCCAACAACCTATATCATCACCACGTTGAATTGAAATTTACACAAACACCTTTTTTTGGGATGATTTTATTTACTTTTTTGCTTGAAAATCATATAAAATGTTGAGTATGGAATATTTAATAGGTTTGAATGATACAATAAATAATATTTTTTCTTCTTTATTAAAATTATTCAATGGTATTTGATACTGCAATAACCATATATGATATGATATAAAGAGTTCTATCTCAATAAAGTTTGATTTTCTTTTGTAAATGGAAAAGATAAAATGTTTTTCACACTTCGAAGTTTAGAAAATCAAATTCTATATTTCCGTTACGTTTCAAAAGTTGTCACTCGATCTTTTATTTGTATGACTAGAAAGAAAACGTTAATTTCGTTTTTAAATTGTTTTATTTTTTCATATCTATGATAATCATTATTTGACACAGGACAAATACAATACGATATTTCACACATGTAACAGGGTGCTAGTCCATACGAAAATTTCCATAGAATTGTATTTTTCTTTTATCTTTTAGACTGTTACGGAATTTGGTGATTTGACTAATGAACTATTTTTGTTGAATGACCTCGTGTTTAATAAAAAAAAGGTTGACTAGAGACTTGTGAGGGAGGTAAATTGTAGGATGTACCACAATAGGTCAAGGAATAAGAACTGCATGTGTACTGCGCCTACAAGGAATCCAATTCCATGTTTCAGGAATCGAACCCCCACACTGCGACTGCCAGCAAGACGTGAGATAACCTCACTCCTATCATTTGCACTACTAGGTTATGTCTCCAGGGGCGACCTCGTGTTTAATATGATATATTAGGATTAGACTACTTTGTCGGAATTCTTTTGACATAATAGTTGACATCTTCTCACATGCAAAATGGGTCTCGCGTAAATAAATAAAAAAAAGTACAAAAATAAAAATAAAAATGGGCCTCCTCCCATTGTGTGTCGATCAGCCGTTATGGCAAAAAAATTTGATCACCATAACATTGTTGAATATATTATTTCATGAAAACTTATTGTTTTTCTTTTTGGCATGATCAACGAGATTTCTTCATGCTTCTAGAAACTCTATATAAATTTTTTATTACTCTCTACAGTTTAGTCAAGTAAATAATAGGTCAATGCAGTCATCGATAAGAAATTCTTGTATGAATCTATGGTCTTCACTTTTCCTGTTTGAGAAAGTGTCCTTTCTTAAAGAGACTTTAAAAATTAATAAATGAGTAAATTTTCTGCAATTCTTTTCTACTTTATCTCTTTGGATTAGAAGATAAAATAAAACAATTACTTTAAAATCCTAAAAATAGCTATCCTTATCATGTCCCAGAAAACTAATAATTTATTGATTTTAATGTAATTTTCAACACTGGACAAAATTCTTTCGGGGCATTCTTAGATCAAAAATGTAATTTAAAACATTCTTCGACTAAGACAGTAGGACTCTATTTAAATTATCGACTATACAAAAGTCTTATATTAAATAGCAAAATGACAACTGCAAAGATAGTGTCCAAAAATATTGGAATTGAGACTTGGCGAGCGTGTTTGGGTTAGCTTTAGAAGTTCATTTATAAACAAAAAAGTATGAGTAAATGAAAAGGACAAGTTAGTTATTTTCAATTAAAGTTCGAAATAATTATGTTACTTAATTTAAAATCACTTTTCTCTTATAAGTAAAAATAAATAGGCACGGTGGACTCCTTGTTAACCTGCTGCAAGGGTTCTCCAATTCCAAAGGAACAAAAGGGTAGTGAAAGTCTTCGGACGGTTATTTGGGTCAATTTACAGGGACGAAGTGCCGCGTACGGCACGAGGTAATTGAATTACACGTTTTAATAGTTTTGTCAAAACTAATATCTTTATTTTTTGGACTTGTCTGAATTTAGGCTAATAAGTTTTCTTACGTCCACCATACGAAATCGCTTTTCTAAATCAAAGTTTAACCTCGTTTGGTTTTACTAAAAATCAAAATTTAAAGCATCGTTGATGAAATTAATGATTGAAAAGTTGATAAAAGATGTGAGTCTCATAAATGTTTATTTAAAATTAATTTTTTTTTATATATTTTATTTCGAATTGACTATTCCTTTTCAAATTAATGTGCAGACCTAGTCTTTTAATATTGTCGGAGATAAAACACTGAAAATTTATAATTTTGTTGTCTAAATAGTAAATATTAATGGCTACTTGTACAATTTGATGGATTACGATATTATATTGACTTGTAATTCACTAATTGAATGAAGAAGTGTTCAACAAATGTTTAACAAAGTGCAATTATTATTGATCACTTAATAAAGTCAAATATTTTTAGGTGGCCGGTCGGTCCACTAGACTATTGGGTCTTGAGTCCAACAACCTATATCATCACCACGTTGAATTGAAATTTACACAAACACCTTTTTTTGGGATGATTTTATTTACTTTTTTGCTTGAAAATCATATAAAATGTTGAGTATGGAATATTTAATAGGTTTGAATGATACAATAAATAATATTTTTTCTTCTTTATTAAAATTATTCAATGGTATTTGATACTGCAATAACCATATATGATATGATATAAAGAGTTCTATCTCAATAAAGTTTGATTTTCTTTTGTAAATGGAAAAGATAAAATGTTTTTCACACTTCGAAGTTTAGAAAATCAAATTCTATATTTCCGTTACGTTTCAAAAGTTGTCACTCGATCTTTTATTTGTATGACTAGAAAGAAAACGTTAATTTCGTTTTTAAATTGTTTTATTTTTTCATATCTATGATAATCATTATTTGACACAGGACAAATACAATACGATATTTCACACATGTAACAGGGTGCTAGTCCATACGAAAATTTCCATAGAATTGTATTTTTCTTTTATCTTTTAGACTGTTACGGAATTTGGTGATTTGACTAATGAACTATTTTTGTTGAATGACCTCGTGTTTAATAAAAAAAAGGTTGACTAGAGACTTGTGAGGGAGGTAAATTGTAGGATGTACCACAATAGGTCAAGGAATAAGAACTGCATGTGTACTGCGCCTACAAGGAATCCAATTCCATGTTTCAGGAATCGAACCCCCACACTGCGACTGCCAGCAAGACGTGAGATAACCTCACTCCTATCATTTGCACTACTAGGTTATGTCTCCAGGGGCGACCTCGTGTTTAATATGATATATTAGGATTAGACTACTTTGTCGGAATTCTTTTGACATAATAGTTGACATCTTCTCACATGCAAAATGGGTCTCGCGTAAATAAATAAAAAAAAGTACAAAAATAAAAATAAAAATGGGCCTCCTCCCATTGTGTGTCGATCAGCCGTTATGGCAAAAAAATTTGATCACCATAACATTGTTGAATATATTATTTCATGAAAACTTATTGTTTTTCTTTTTGGCATGATCAACGAGATTTCTTCATGCTTCTAGAAACTCTATATAAATTTTTTATTACTCTCTACAGTTTAGTCAAGTAAATAATAGGTCAATGCAGTCATCGATAAGAAATTCTTGTATGAATCTATGGTCTTCACTTTTCCTGTTTGAGAAAGTGTCCTTTCTTAAAGAGACTTTAAAAATTAATAAATGAGTAAATTTTCTGCAATTCTTTTCTACTTTATCTCTTTGGATTAGAAGATAAAATAAAACAATTACTTCAAAATCCTAAAAATAGCTATCCTTATCATGTCCCAGAAAACTAATAATTTATTGATTTTAATGTAATTTTCAACACTGGACAAAATTCTTTCGGGGCATTCTTAGATCAAAAATGTAATTTAAAACATTCTTCGACTAAGACAGTAGGACTCTATTTAAATTATCGACTATACAAAAGTCTTATATTAAATAGTAATAAAAAGGATTCAAATTTAGTTCTTATCAGATGTAATAAATTATGAAAAACAAAATATATACTTAACCATATAGAATAAGTAATTAAGTCCTTATTTGATGAGAATTAAAATCAGATTTTCAATAAATTTTAATGAAAGTTGATGAAATATGTGATTTAAAAGTTATTAGATCCATAAAATATGTGGTTAAAATTATTTATTTATTTTGACATAGAATTTTAATCACTATCAACTAGGAGTTAAGTAAGTAAATACACATGAAAAAAATATATGATTGATAATCTCGATTGACAACAAATTCATAGGAGGGGATCCACGGTTTTTTTTTTATTGAGGGTGGGTCTCCCTTTCATGTGTGTGGTTGTCAATCTCGATTGTACATGTAAAATAATTAAGGTCTCGTTTCGTACCTATTTTTTTCAAAATGTATTTTTCTCTCTCTTCTTTTCAACCACACATTTTTCATCAATTTATTATTCTAAAATAAATTTTTACATAATTTGCCGACAAATAAACGTGCCCTAAAACCTATGAATTGATTACCCGACAGGTACGAGGGGACTGGTTCCAATTTTCTTCTAGAAGAGTAGGGTTTGTGGTGGAATTTTATTGTGTGTAGACCTTCTAGAAGGAGGCATTGTGTCTAATGTTTTCTATATCACCATACCCCGGCCCGCCCCTCGCCCTACAACCCATAGATGCAGAGAATATGTACAAAGTAGGCCCCTAGAGATTGCCAAACCCAAACAGTTAACGCACCACAGAAAATGAAGTGTCAAACAAGACAGCCCACTTCATCTTTTCGTGTTACTTCTCAGAAAAAAATCAGTATATAAAGTGTATCTATATGTTTATTTTTATTGAATTTTTTTTTTGTGGGTTCTTCAGATAATTATGGATAAGAGAGCAGTTCTTGATGTGTCTTGTTTGATGCTTTTTGAGGCCAGTGGTGATTCTGAGATTGACAGTCTTGATGATGCCACTGTGGGTTCATTCGAGGAAGACGAGGATGATGCAGAATCGTGCAGTTATGGATCTTCTTATTGGGAGTGCATTAAGAAGATTGAAAATGATTTTGATCAGAGGGTGGATGTTTTTTGCATGAAAGATGTTGAGGAGGTTGAAATCGAAGGCAACCATGAGGAAGTGGAGAAATATTATTGTGGTGGTTACAGGGCGGCGGAGGCGGTGGCTCCGCCTCCGTCTAACGCCTCAGAAGAATCTGTGGTGGCTGAGAAATTCAAGAAATCTAAGGTACATGATGATCCAAATATGAAGATGATGAATCAAAGGGACAGAGACAGACTCTTCTGGGAAGCTTGTTTGGCATCTTGATTTTCCTGAAATAAATTATTGGATTTTTATTTTTATTTCTTTTATTCGTTTGGGAGATTAAAAAATTATGAATCTCCAACTCCTTGATTTTCTTATCATTTTTCTTTTTCTTTTAATTTTCTATAGCTGCAACGAAGAAGCTCAAAATTGTATAGAGTACACGTTTGCATAGAATTAATAGTATTGTATTATTATTTTTTTATTTATCAACTTGCATCTCAAACAAATTCCAATCATATTGCATCACTTGTTGAAGTCATATCCCTAAAAATGATAATCGACTCAAAAATAAATCGATAACATTGAGACATATTGATAACTGATTAAACATCACAAATTAATAAACACTTCTTTAAGAAAGTATATTGCTTGTGATTCTCTAACTAAAAAAAAGTTGATAAAAAGTTAAATCAAGGTCGATAATTAATTTTAACCACAATATCTTCTTTGTATATTTCTTGTATGTAAATAATTACAAGAAATATTTGTACATAAGCAGTTATATAATGATTTACATACAAATGAGATGTAAAAAAAAAAAAACTTTTTTTATTTGATTGAAGAGATTCTAATACATATATATAGTTATTTATTACTAAATCATGTGTCTGTAAATCATTATATAAATTTATTATGTACATATAGCACAATCATAAAAGAAATATATTTGCATATATTTCTAAATTCAATTTAGACCTTATCACATCATCTTCCTTTGTGAAGGAATAATAGAGAACGAAAACAGTTGGTAAAGGTGTTACTCTACCATATTATGAGATTAATTATACGTGGAAAGTGGAAATCGCTGACGAACAGAGACGGATTGAGGGGCGGGGGGTGGGGCGGCTGGGCTGGGCTGTAGCCCCACTCCCTCAGGTCCAAGAGCTTTTTTTTTAAGGTATTTTTTATTTTTTTTTGATAAAAAATTAGTTTTTTATGTGTACATTTTTTTTTTCGCGCAGTAGCCCGATTTGAAATTTTGTAGCCCGATCTTAGATCCAATCCTGAATTCGTCACTGCTGATGAATCCCTCCAATCCATAAATATATGCTTGCTTTCTTTTTTCATGTGTTTCAAACTATATGTCAATGTTTAATATGCTTTGTTATCAATAAATATGAACTATTAATATTTAAAATATTATTCAATGTAGGGGTAAAATAGAAAAAATGTAAATAAATTTATATTTTTAACTATATTAATTGTATTTTCTTATTCTATGTAAAAATAAAAATAAAGCATATTTTTATGAGATAAAGGGTGTAAATAACATTGTTTGACAATAATATTTTGTTGCACTCTGTTCATCTTTGGTGAGCTTCAAAAGTTGGATGTCTTCGTCTGATATTTCATATTTGGAAATTTATATGGATTGGGTTTTTGATATAGAATTTGCTTTTGTGGGCTTTTGGGTTATTTTATGGACTGCTGTTAATTGAACTTGGGCTTTTTTAATTGGTTTACAGTTTAGGTATTTTGGGCTCAAGTGTATTCATAGTGTGGACTTGGTTTTTGACTCTGTTTGATGCTAAAGTTTCAAAAATAGCGTAAAAAAATTTATTTCTCAACGTTTTTTCAATTATTTTTTATTACCACAATACTACATTTACTTATTAGGATCCGTTTTATTGCAAAGATGTAATTAGGTGGAAAGAAAACGAATTTCAGGAAATTGAATTGATGGGAATTTGTTTTCCTAGAAATTGTAAATTATTGTGTTTGATTAGTATAATTTTTCACATGAAAAATGTTTCAATTAAAGTTTTTTTTTTCGTTTGACTTTGTTTTACATGAAAATTGTCAATTAAAGGAATATAATTTACTGATATTGTGGATGAAATTTGTTTCCAGTGCTAAAAAATAAAAAATAAAAAATTCAAGAAAATCATCTATCTTTTAGTGTTCATTTGATTTTGTTTTACATAAAAATTGTCAATTAAAGGAAAATATTTTTTTACAATAATTATTAGAATTTGTTTTCATTGCTAAAAAAAATTGAAAAAAAAAATCCGCTACAGTAAACCTAAATTGGAATTCTCACCATTTTGGTGAGAATTCCAATTCAAGGAAAAGTAGGAAAAATTGTTTAGGTGACAAGAGTCATGAAAAATGAATTCCTTATAATTTTTTTACCATTAAACACTCATTTTTGGCAAAAGGTGGAAATGAATTTCCATTTTCCATGAAATTAGAGGTTATCAAACACTACCTTACTTTATTTACGCTGCTATTTCATTTTTTTTTTCACAACTATAAAGTTTTAACACAATGCCTTTTACTTGCGTTACACATATACGGTGTTACACACATTCCATCGATTTTCGCCATCATTGTAACCAGTAATAAAAATCAAAATTCATGTCGCTTATTTTCACCATCACCAATGACGTCTATGTTGATCTGTATCATCACCCTTTGATCTGCAACATCACCATCATCTACGATAACCACCATCACAAAATACTTCATCTCACCAATGTCAAAAATCGTCATCAACATTAAACTAGCTTTTTTAAGATTTACATTCTCATATACAAATTTTTATTATTTTATAAATCCCATCTAGTGGAAAATCATATCACATTCGAAATCAATAAAAATGTAGCATCTTCAACCTTCAAATGAGATTTATAATTAAAAAGATCTAAGAACATAGTGCATAAAAATATAAAATGAAGCGCCAATGTATGAACCGCTGGTCAAATCAGAAGTTATGGATCCCAAATTAAATATTTCCTATATTTAGTGGGGTGAAAGTGCAATTATATAAGAACAATAATCCAAATTCCAAAACAGCTGTACGAAAAGGAATTCACTTCTCAGCTGCGCGGTTAATTCGAATCAGTTATTTTCTTCTTCTTGCTGCACAAGAGATTCTCCCAGTTCTTTACTCCACGGGCACGCATAAACAGAGACCTATATGTGCATGTATATTCTCATAATTCATCCGTAAACCCAGAAATTTCTGTTGAGGGATTTGAATTAATCGAAAGTATATTATAGGTTAGTGAAGATGATGATTAGGATCCGAAGCCGGGATGGGTTGGAGCGGGTCCGTATCGACAACGCGCAAGCCACCGTCGGTCAACTCAGGTCTGCAATCGAGTTGCAGCTCCGGGTTCCGACCCATTCCCAAACCCTGTCAACTAATCAAAATCTTCTTTTGGCCAAAACCCTAGCTGAAATAACCCGGTTCACTGACATGTTGGATCATAATACCCGGATCTCGGCTCTTAACATTGGGCATGGATCTGTAGTTTATCTAGCTTATGAGGGGGAACGGACGGTTACGGGGCCTGTGTTCAACCCGGCTGGGTCTTTCGGCAGGAAGATGACCGTCGATGATTTGATTGCGAAGCAGATGCGAATCACTCGACAGGAAAACCCGCATTGTGAGCTTGTTTCGTTTGATCGTGATGCGGCGAATGCTTTCCAGAATTATGTGAATGAAACCCTTGCTTTTGCTGTAAAGCGGGGTGGGCTTATGTACGGGACGGTCTCTCCAGAGGGGAAAGTGGAGGTGGATTTTATTTACGAGCCGCCCCAACAAGGTACGGAGGAAAATTTAATTCTTTTCCGCGATCCAGATGAGGAGAAGTTGGTTGAAGCAATTGCATTGGGGCTGGGGATGAAGAGAGTGGGCTTCATATTCTCGCAGACAGTGAGTCAGGATAAGAAGCACTATACAATGTCGAATGCGGAGATTTTACAAGCAGTGGAACTGCACACAGAAAGTGATTTGAAGGAGTGGGTGACTGCTGTAGTGAAGCTGGAGGTGAACGAAGATGGTGGAGCGGACGTGCATTTTGAGGCGTTTCAGATGAGTGATATGTGTGTTCGGCTGTTTAAAGAAGGGTGGTTTGAGAAGGATATCCGAGGGGAGGTGGACCCGAAGTTGTCCAGAATGACAAAAGATGTGGTGGTTGCAGGGAAGGATACTAGAGAGGTTGACAACGACTTTTTCTTGGTTGTTGTCAAAATATTTGATCACCAGGTGAGTTAGGTTAATTTTGATATGGTTTGTATAAAAAAGCTTATTAGCAAGATTCTTCCTTTAATTTGAAGTTTATTAGCTATACAATTGAAGTGTTTTTGGGATGAGAAACCATAACTGTAAATGCTAAGTCTCCTTTTTCCTGGTTATGTGATATGATAGACAATTTGTTATTGAAAGTAATCTAAAGTAGTCAAAATTAGCGTAACATAAATCATATTGACAACACAAGAAGATTAGTCAGAATTTAGAACATCACAAAGGGAAAAAGGGATTTCTATTTCTATCCTTTTTTATTCCCCAGGGCTTTGAGGGTCGATTTCTTTGGGGAAAGGGGGGTTGGGTGTGAAGGGATGTTGATTGGTAGTACACATGGATTAGTGAATATATAGATATAAAAGAATATTTGAGTTAGCAACCACGAGTACGGCACTTCATTGAAATTAAGGAATGAAGAAACTGGAAGGTCTGTATATGCCCGCATGGATAGTCTCTCTGGAAACCAGATCTAGTGACTGTTTTAAATTATCGGGACCTGCATTTATGCATTAAATCTTTTCGATTTCACAACTGGAACAAAGTTACTCTTCGCTTTTAACTCACTTAATTGCATGTTCTTAGACCATTTTCTTTTCTTACTTGAAGTCCTGCCAAAAGTTAGCAGAAGGCATCAAAGCCTGCATTAATGTCAGCTTATATTTTCATATAGCTATGTGAGAAACTTGCATAATCATCATTGTTAGTATGAGTCTAGGCACCATTACAAGATGAGGGATTCATCTAAAAAGAACTAAAGTGGAGAGAGAATGTTAAAAGGCCTTACCTTTTCAGTTTTTTCAGAGTTAGCCTGGCGTTTTTGTGTCTCACTTAAGTACTTAACAATCCTAAAATACCCTTATTCTCATTCACCTTGTCTCTTATTGTCGCCATTTTCTTAATCTTACACGCTGATTTAAATATTTTGTGATTGATGGATTCTGTATTGAGAACTGGTTGTATTTTTGCTTAGAGCAGGATTCTGAATTTCAGGTCTGTAATCGAACCTGAAATTCCTTTACCTGCTTTTCGAACTGACAAAGCACGGTACATACTGTAATTCTTTTTCTATCTGATGGGTTACTGCGATTGATATCCATTTCATTTACTAACTAGTGTTTGTATCTATCTCATAGAACCTGAGTTTTTCTCATCCTTAGTAGCTGTTCACTGGATATTATGTCTTTCTTCGCTATCCTCATCTTCATCCATGGCATTTCAATCTGATCATAGGTTTCTGATTTGCTTTCACCTTCAGACTCTTTCGATTTGACAAAACTCTCCGGCGTTCATCCCATAATGCTTTTAGTTAAGTTGTATGCTATGTTATCTTCATGTACAAAGCTTTTTCTTAGTTGACCTTGAAATTAATTTTTCTTACTTCTCATACTTCAGCTCATTAGTGCTATCCTTCTCGACTTCCTTTATGTTTTTATCAAATTTGAACCTTTGATCACCTGAAACGTCCGTCCTAATTTTCCCCTTCTAACCATATGAATCTCCAACTATTTCTAATGGACCAAATTTGCAGGCAAGAATTATATGCCTTTCTTGTGCTGATTACCTCATCTTCTTCCATCAATTGCCTCTTTGTAATCCCATTCATGAATTTCGAGGAAGAAAGATTTCTGAAACAACCCCTCTAAACTGTGATTATTATTGTTTTTTTGGGTAGAATTGTGAGTATTAGGGCAATTCAATTTAATAATTGAAAGCTGTTCCAGTTTCAGACTGTGATTACTACAGGACAAAATGATATATTTGAACCCCTCGCGTATCTTGACTTTTGTATATCATGTGTGTCCTTGATAATTTAACAAGATTGTTTCATTGCTAAAGTTTTTAGTAAAAAACATGTACTTATCTGATAAGATTCTTAATTGCATATTATAGAGGGATATCATTTCATAGTGCTACAAGTCGTTTGTTTGCTTTATTGTCAAAATTGGAATATCAGCTTTGGTTCATAACATTTGGCTTATTTATTGTCGTTTTGGTTTCATGGAATGATTTGAAGTGAAATTCGCAAACTTGCTACACACATATATGCTATGGTATAATAAAGCCAAGATATGGTATATAAAATAGCCTGTGCCTCAGCACTGTCTGTTCTACACCCAGTATCCAAACCGTGGCATCTGTTAGATTGCTTTAGGTTCTTACATTGACATTTGATGTTTTTGTCCTTATCTGTCATTACTATTTTCCGTATTTGTCCTTCTTGGTGGAAATATACCGCAGACATTTTTAATGATTGCTGTTTTAATTTTGGCTGTTTTTCATACTTTATTCTCAAAACAAAGTTGATTAAGATACAATATGGTTAATACTTAGGCTTTGTTTGAGCCCTATTTTTTGTGAAAAATGATTTTTGTAATAGTATTTTTTTTGGAGAATGAGTAGTTAAAACGTAAGGAAATTTTTTTGGTTTACATGCAAAATATTTTATTGAAAGAATGTGTGATTGAAAGTGAATTTGGGGAAATGAGTGTTTAGATAATGGGGTGCTAACATGGGCTTGCTAGTAGTATGCTGGAGTAATTTAGCTTTATTTGTGCAAAGAATAAACTGAGTCACAGAGATTGTGAGGTTGAGAAGATTTGAAGGATTAAAGCATTTACATTTTGGCGTATGATTCTGTTTCTTATGTGAACTATTCTGATGCAGGGGCCACTTTCATCAACATTTCCTATTGAGAACAGGAATGTCCCAGTACCAATGCAGGCATTGAAAACCCATCTCGATCGAACAAAGAGTCTCCCCTTCGTGAAGCGAATTTCGGATTTCCATCTGCTGTTGTTGATTGCCCGGTTTTTAGATGTCAATGCTGATGTTCCTGCATTGGCAGCATGTGTACAGGCGCAGGCCACTATACCAGAAGGATTCCAGCTCCTGATCGAATCTATAGCCAGTTCTTGATGCAGGATGTCGTGTATTATCTCTCACTTCACTCGAAAGGGAAGTCAGTTATGAATCTTGAACATGGGCAATATGCTCTGGTAGATTCACCTGTGTAACTAAAATCGGAACACTGTAGTACTTCAATTTATTTGGGGTTATGGTGTTGCTGTATTCTGTATTTATTATTATTCAATTACATGCTTTGGTTAAGTCTTTGAGCCGAGTTCATCCCACTACAGTTGTGCTTGTTTGTCTAAACTTTCAAGTGTTTATAGGCTGTGGATTTTAAAGGATGTATGGTTGGAAAACAGGCAAAATTTGTAGGTGTACAGAACGCGAGGAAAATATAGAGCTATATATCATTATAAACAATTTTAAGCTTTGCCAAACACGCACGATTTATTATTGGAGAATCCTCACCCCCAAATTTTTGTAAGGACATGTAGGTTGACAAAAGTATGTGCCAGATTTCGGGTGATTCATGGGTGGTTCGAGATCGTGAATGGGACATGACCTATGAGAATTGGCCCGACTGACCTGGTTCTTAAAAACAAGAAATAAAAATTGAAAAGACTCTTATTTCTCTTCTCCATTTTTTCATCTCCTGCCGGCTGCCGATCTATTTAGGGTGTATACGTAAAATTATTGATCTTCTATTACTGGTGAGCTCGTTAGTTTTTCCCCTTATTTCACATACTATTTGGCAATGTAAATTGAAAACACAGCAATGAGAATTATTCTGTTTTTTCTAGTCATGGCTTAATTTAAACGACAGCGGGTTGGCCCGGTCCATTCATGGGTGAGTTTGGTCCTTTAATTTTTAAGATGCCAAAATCATATATTTAGACGTACTGGTTAAACTCGCTATGGACTTGAATCGAGTGGTTAATTCCAAACTAGGTTCTAATCTTACAACCTCTTCAATCCAAATAATTACATGACTTGAAGATTAAAGTGTAATTTCTTTTTCAATATACTAGTTTTTTGCCCATGCAATGCATGAATTGTGTCGTTTTGAAGGTAATGTTAGCATGTTTGATGTTAACAATTATTAAGAAATATGTATATTTTCATTCAATAGACGTTGATGGGTAGATTAATGTACATCCGTCTTAAAAGTTTCTCCTAAAAGCCACTCAAGTACTAAAACCTTCTCATTTGAAAGATCTCCATCTAATTTCATAACAAGAACAATCCTACTTTGCTTCCCTTCCCGAGTCAAAAGAGTTTAAAGTTCTGATTATATCCATAATCAGAGAAAAAAAAAGGACCCCTTTCACATGGGAACTGTGATTGAGAACCAGGTTGAGGAATGGGACAATGAGAGACTAACGGCCCATTGTCCACTTTCCACTCTTATTCATTTGTTATTCATTGAGATCTTAGAATATGTTTTTTAGCTTGTTGAATGCATGTACGTCTTCAGCAAAATGGAAAAGGATTCATGGACATGAAAGAAAATGACTCAAAGTTTACTGTAGGCCGTACATTAGAACTATTAATCCCATAGTATAATTCATCAAGTAAATAAGCTCTAAATAAAGTAACATGGAAGAAGCACCTAGAACACAACAATCTAAGTTCGCGATTATGAAAAATGGTAAGACACAGTGCAACCAGTGTGAACACATGAATGTTTAAGAGCAAGTACATAAGCCCAACAAACCATTACACTCATAACATATGTTTTCTTTTCAAAAGTTGAAAGAAACAGTACGAAATATTATGACCTGTTTAAAAACAGGGAAAGATATCCACTAAGGAAATGTTCTACTACAAATTTTCATCAAATGATCCTTGTTGAGAGAGCACAATGATTCTATACCAACCATCTATCATAAAAACACAGAGGAAAATGCATTACAGTTACTTTCACAATTGCCCTATATACCAAAACCAAAAACATCAAGTTTACATAACAATGTACACAGCAAAAATACTCAATGAACACAATTATTGCATTGGGTTCTACAAAAATGACAAAAAAAAAGACATATAATAAACTTTCATTTTCTTTTCAATAAAACAAGTAAGTTTCAATTAATATTTTTTAGCAAAAAATAAAAATAAAAATTCAATTAATATAACTAACTATTCACTTACAAGTTAAAATACTTAGCAAATAAGCAAAAAAATATACTTATCACTATTAAACCTTCAAAATGCCCAAAACTAAAAAAATCATAAATATAAAGAAATTTAATACAAAAAAATAAGAAAATGGAAAAACCTTAGCAATTCGCTTGTTGTCCCTGTACTGCATCATGTGCTACCAACTGGCCATCAACGTGCGTGAAAACAATCCCGATCAACATTCCTAATATCAATGCATGTTTTATTTCTCCATTTCCCCCCTTTTGTGAAATAGACCATAATGAATATAAGCTAAATGTAGATTCAAGAGTCACGAAAGAGAATCTTAAGATGTTATTTTATTTGCTATCATCAATACCATACATTTTACCTTCAAGTATCTAACAGACAGAAGCCACTTACCATTACAGTAGAATATATAATAACTATAGCTCTAAAATGCATTTTTCATACATTCTATTTATTTTGCAATAAGAAATTTCATCTTGCACAGTAAAAATTGAATTCTGTGGAGCTTCTTTACCTTTGCATTTCAAGCGCCTTCGAAAGCTAACTTTTGCTAGAGAAAGATCCGATCACCATGGTCAACGAAAACTTGAGAGTACCAATTGAGAAAAAACCTATGATAATATCCATCATAATTATTCTCATCACAAAAAAATTAAGTTTCATGCAGTCGTGCATTGTAGGAAACGATGTTATCTAGTCTTCACTACCAAAAGAAGTGTCCCTTAATTTCAGCTACTTTCCAAAAGGTTTTCAACATATACTAATCATAGCACTGGAAGGGATGAAAAAATATTGACAGATTGTATTCGATAGAATTAATAACTTGAGGAGCTTCGGAAGATATTCTCAAAATTTTTGGAAGCACTTAATAAGGAGCTTGTCCAAGAAACGAAACTTATTTATTGTATATCTATTGTGCATGTGTTCTACACATATTGGGATAAACTGGTTTTTAAGAGTGCATGGTGTCCAAAAGGCTATTATAGTTCAGGAGGTAGCAAGGAAACAATATTATGGTAAACTTGACACCGTCAAAATTAGCAACGAATATAATTAAATATGCCATAACCAGAAATTCGCCGAAACAAGACACCTCCAATCATGTTTTAGAGGATTGGATGAGTATCTTAGCTCTCCACACGGATCAAGTCCAACAGCAACCATAGAAATAATGCCATTGTCAAAGAATTCATCAAATTCAACCCAAAAAGCTTTCGTGTAGTCAAAGTAAACCTGTATAAGTTTTTCATTAGTAAAAATAAAATAAAACCAAATCTACAGATTTAAACAAAACCAACTCATCAAGATGTAAATAATTGTGTGATAATGAAAAAATAAAAATTCCTCCAAATATGAAATGGAAAATAGACTGAGATGACTCTGCCATTCAATAGGGGAAGAGGATTGTAGCTCTTTCTTTCGAAGGGCGAGGAAAGGGAAAAACTGATATTATACTCACAATAGCGTAAGTGAAAGCTTAGGCTCCAAATTAAGTTCATATAGTGATCACTAAAAATAGAATAAGAAAATCGGATAGCGAATAAGAAAAAAAAATCAGATGTCCTCAAATCCTAAGAGAATTTGTCATGAACTTGTAGAAATATTGTTAGCACACTTGGCATAGAATTTATTTGTTCTCAACAACTTTACTTTTTTCCAAATTTCAAAAACACAAGATATGAAGAAGAAAAACATGTTATAGAGTTAAAAATTATAGTAACTTGAATTCATTTTTGAGAATTAAAAAACTAACGGTGATATGACATTAACTTTCTTGATGTCAAATCAGATACCTCTATGGCAGTGCAGCTTCTCAAAACCTTTTCTTTGTAAACTTCCCATGAAAGTCATTCAGAGGACAAAAAAAGGGATTGCAGCAACCAATAGGCAGGGGAATATAAACATCATCGCCAACATTACTACCACATTCATGGAAGGACATTACAACCTGATTCCAATTAAAACTTTATGAGTTTTAATAAAATTCTAAGAGGCAGACATATAAGAAACACCAGTTACTTCTTGCATATTAAAATCATTAATGTATTTATGTTTTTCGAAAAGGTTGTCAACTTTTGAAATATATCAGGAATCATACTCCTAATGAATATGATAAGACTCAGTAAGTACTTGTATTTATACCTTTAAAACATGGAAAAGATGATGTGTTATAGAACAAAAGCAACAGAATTGAAGACATGGCATCGACAAAGTAATACCGTATAAAACTTTTATTGCCATTTTTTCTTTTCCACTCCAATTGTACTTCTGTGGAGCATGCACTGCTACTATGCCCTACTAGAAATCTACCATAATACTATTGATGTTAGTTGATTTCAAGACTTTTAGTTGTTTTGCTAAAACGTCGGGATCAACAAGCTCACACTACATATTGACAACACCTACTTGCGACCAAATAGATTGGGAGTGCCTTAGCTATATTTAGAATTAAGAGACAAAAATTTCCCACCATTAATTTGTGACATACATTACATTCATTTCTTCTTAATCTTTTTCTTATCATTTTTTTTTAGTTTTTTGCACAAAGAACAAATGACTTCTAGAAATTTTATTTGATTCAAAGAAAAAATGTGTAATCAGATTTTTTTATACAGCCACTATTCTTTGAGCTACTATACTTAAATCAAGTGTGCTGCTCTATAATTTATTTTACAATTTTATTTTGACACTCACCAAAGGAGGTGAGAACAAGAGTTTTATATTTAACCAAACTTACAAGCATAAGAAAGCAATAAAAAATACATCTTTAAGAACATAAGCAAAATTGATGCACTATCTAGTTAAGTGGGTAAAAAACTTGTTTGATTCAAACTTGAAAAAATATGCAAAAATGCAAAGGACAAGCCATGCAAACCATGGCCTATTACTGATTAAGTTAATTAAGAAGATAACATATCAGGTCACTGTTAAACTTCTCGTGATCAAGAACCATGATTGCAACTATTTCATTAAAAGGAATGAGAGAGCTCTGTACAATTTCGCACTATGACCGTTGGTGAAGTCTTGTGTAGACATGCGTGCATGTTACGTATCTATGAATGAAAGAATTTCCTTGTAGACAACATTTTTTGTACATGTTTTGTGTACATTTTCTGTGTTTAATGAT